TTGAACGCGAACGCAAATATTTGAACGCAACAAATGTGAACGCAAATTTGTCGGAACGCAGAACGCACCGACGGAACGCGAAATTATACCGTCCGCTTCTATTTTGTGCCGAGATAAAGCCATTGGATTACAAGGACTGGTTCACCCCTGAGGCATATGATGTTGCAAGAGTACAGATTGTGAGCACGGTCAACCAAGTTAACACCCAAGCCCAATACATTTGTGAGGAATTCCAGATTGATCATACAAGGGCCTTCACCATTTATGCATTCATAATTGCGGTTCCATATTGGGTCCTTGTTGATTATACCAACAACTCATTGTCTCCTGATTTTTTCACCACTGCACATTCCCGCAGAAATGGTCCATATACACGTTTCCAAGTTCCAGTGCCAGTAGCTGAAGACGCAGACATGGAGATAGACATTGGGGTAGAAGTTCCAGCCGAAGAAGAAGATGCAGAGGATGTTGTAACCACTTCTGGGTTTCCCTATGGGACTGAACCCCGATGTCTATTCAAGATGAGAAGATTGGGAGATGATGATCGTGATGATGATAGCGAGGGCGATGAACTTGGTGAGGACAATGATGACCTGGATGATCTCAATGAGGATGAAGGCGACGAAGAAGAAGAAGCAAAATCTGAAGGCGGAATGTTCAATGGGGAGTTCTCCTTGGACCTTCCACTTCGACGGCACCTGGACGGCACCATATCAATCCTATTCTATTGATGGCATTGCGTCGAATCATGGGTAATAATCATGATGCCTTCCGACGTCGAATGCAGAATGTCTCGTGAGGCCCCCGGAAGTACCAGAACCCTGTCCGGGCAAACGCTGTAAACTACGCAATGTTTTCGACCTAAAATACGCTATAACGGACAAGGTTAATCACGTGAAATGCAAAAAAAAAATTCCTGAAATTTCCAAAAATGGCAGTGTAAAGTCCTCAAAATATATAATTTTCAATTTTGCTTTTGATGCTTCTGAACTACGCTATACCGGACAAGGACTGACCTATTGAGCTTCAATCTACGCTATATTTGGACAAGGGAATGGCTGATTTTGGCCTCTAAAATACGCGATTCCGGACAGGGTTCTGGGGGAGCTTCCGGGGGCCTGTCTCATGGTTTGATTGCAATTATGGAAACTAAACTACGCTTGAAATTCTCGTGAAATGTTTCAATGCAGTTGCATGTATGTGATAGCAGTTCTAACAGATTGCCCATACAGTACGCCTATCTACTGTGCTCTGTATCAAAGACAAGGTTGAATGGGCCTCATATCATATTGCTTGTCAATTATCGGTGGACTTACTATGTAATACATGCATTTTGTCAAGCTATGCCGTTCAGTAGCGGGTCGTCTTGCTGCATCGAACACTCTACTACTGCAACCTGTACATAGTTTCACCTGTGCATGTCAATCAGTCCGACCCTTCAGCCCATACTACTGCAGCAGACGAATCTGGAGAATCCCTTGAAACAAACTCGCCTCGACGGCGAGGTGACTGCGACAACGATAATGAAAAGAAATCTTCGTCTCGTTTACATACATAAAAACTAGAGCAATGTTCAACAACGATGGTGACATCTGTACTGTGAAAATCATTTCTTCATATTTCTCTGCTCTAAAGCTCTCGTACTGATTGCCTTTCCCTTATTTTTGGTGCCACTTCCTGCACCATGCCCTTTTCCTTTTTGACCACGAGCATCACCACCACTACGTAGCTTCCTTTCTCTCCCGCGTTCTTTGCCCCGTACTTTCACTCCGCCTGTACCAGCCTTTCTACCGACAGCCATAGCCATCCTGGATTTCTTTTTCGCCAACCTCCGTGCCATACGCTCCGCATCACCTGCTTTCGCGCTCTTCCGGTCCTCTTTAGAAAGATGAGCAAGTTTAGCACCAAGGGTGGGGTCGCCTTTGGGGATCGATACTGAGGCTAACGACGTCGATGGGGTGGATAGGTTGGTCTTGGAATTTGCAGGACGATTGGGATTGTTCGGGCGCGACGAGGATGTAATGGGGGTCGATTTGACTTTGACTTTGAACGACCCGCCCGGGATTGTTTTGCACCTCTCCACCCTCAGCTTGCGTTTTGCAAATTTCAGCTTGCCAGGCTCCAGAGCTGCGGCAAGGATCTCATCCACGCAGTCGCGGTCGGCAAATTGGACATAGGCAAAGCCTTTGCCAAGCTGGGTGTCCTTGTCGCGGATGATTCGAACACGGATTACCCAGCCCTCCGATCGAGCTCTGGCCTTTGCGGATCCCTTCTGCTTTTTATTGCCTTCGTCGTCGCTCCGGACGTCCTTTTCCTCAGAACCTTCGCCAGGCCGAGACCCCTTCTCTGCGCTGATGATTCCCTCGAAGTACGCTCTTACATCCTCTTCCTTACTCTCAAAATCCAGATTACCAACGAATACGCATCGCTTAGGGTCAACATCGCTGCCTGTTCTAAGCACTCGTCCAGCCTCTGCCACATGAAGGTCTGCATTATGAGCAACAACATCGACCCTCAACGTACGCTCCATGAATTCTGACCCATCACAGTATTCTTTGGCAAGGCGCGCAGCATCGTAAGGGTTCATCACGTCCGGAAGCGGAGGTAGATTCGATTTACGCTTTGGTACCTCATCAGATGCGGATGCAGGTGTGGGATGTGCAAATACGATGTATGCGTTAACGCTAGATCCAGAAGCGTGTATCTCCTGATTGATAAATGCAACTTTTTTCTTCTGTGCTGGGGTAAGGAACTGTTTCTCGCCTTTGACAACGTCTTCCTCATCCTTGTCGCCAGAAGATTTCTTCCACGACTTGGTGCGGTCAATATCGTGCTGACGAGATTTAATAGATGATTTCGGGTTGCTATTGTTAGTTGAAGATTGGACCCCCTCCTTCTCGAGTCTGGACGTAGGTACGGCAAACGGGACTGAGCGGAATCGGGTAGATTCAATTTTGGGTATTTTGATGGAGGAACCCGACGGCGTAAGTATGAGGGAGAGGATATGTCGTTGCAGCGATTTTAGTAGTGACTAGATAAATATCCAAATAAGCGACATATTTAACAGGAATGAATTAAAAGACCAAGCACCCTCTTTTGAGAGACCTCAACATTGAGATTTCCAACGAAGATAGTCCGAGCATTTCGTTGGTCCTGGTTCTCGTCAGGAGGAATATATTTGCTTATGGACTTTGGCGGTTTTTTGGAGCGTTGCTTCTTGGTAAGAGACTCATGGTCAGGAGGCGGGCAGCTTGCATCGTCGTCGTCTGTCTCACTGGAAGCCTCCTCGACATCGTCATCAGCCTCTTCTGCTTGCTCTTCATGTTTGCCGGCGCGACGTGATGCCGAAAATTTTCCTTTCCCATTCGCTCTCGATAAATATGCATTTTCGAGCTCAGAGTCGTTTTCGTCGTCACCGTCAGATTTGCTCTCTACCTCCTCCTCCTCATCATCATCATCATCGCTACTCTTCTCCACGATAGCATTCGATGTTTGTGTTGGGTTCTTCAGTTTGGTTTTTCCTGTTTCCGGAAGTAGTGTCTTCTTTTGTTTCAATGAGGACTTGGATTCCTTTACTTTGGCCTTCTTGATGGTGAGCTCCGAAAGCGCTGAGCCGACATCCTGATGTTTTCTTTTCAGCTTCCCTGATCTCAGAGTGAAAGAAGAAACTTCAGATTCTTTCTAATTACTGCTCAGTTAAACGTGGACATTGAGTAAATTCTTGACACATACAAAGGTGGATTGGAACAGGGCATCGAGTTCCGTATCGACAGTAGTCTGTTTCTTGCTGGATGCAAGTAAAAATGACGAAAGAGCCATAAGGAAAACGATGGCAAGAACTTGAAAGCGCCTCCGAGCCCCGTGTGAAGATGTCGCGCACATCATGTGATTATAGTGAGCTAAATTAGGCATACTTCCCGCGGTTTGGAGAGAACGGTTAAGTCGCTGTCGATTAGTGGTTAAATCATCGTGTTGTGGCATTTATCAAAAGATCTGCGCAGTCCGCGAAGCCGGGAGCTCGAATCTCCTCAGTGACAATTTTCTTTCAGTAATGTAATGTAAGTATAGTGAATCAACTTGAAGGAGCGATGGCGAACCAACCGTTATTGCCGTAGCTTCTGACAATTTTTGGGATCATAAGTTGAGTTTTGAACGTCACTTTAGGTTTCCTTATATTATAATTTGTCCCCCCTTTATCCGATTTTACTCGGAATCACCCCCGAATTTCCTATACTCATTGTATGAAAACTGACATTAGATTGATGATATGCAACGGGATCCGGAACCTACAAATACATTGGTTTACAGGTCTACTGACAGTGAACTTTGGAAAAGAAGGAGGAAATGAGACAAACATGAGCGAGAGAGCAATCTGATATAAGCACAGGTATTTTTACACCGAGAATCCGGGTTTGGTTTTCTAACTCAAACCCGCTGTCGCTGCAAGGGATAACAGCTTGAGGCCCTTGGCCTTGGAATACATCTTCGCAAGGATGTTGCTCGCAAAGGCGTCGTCGATCACTGGTACTGCGAGAGCTACTGGGTATTCGTTCACCGCTCGCTCTGTTGGAAGCTCGGAGTCGAATTCTTCACTCATAGCTACGTCTATATCGTCCCCATTATACACTTCTGAACGCTAGAAATTAATGGGACCAGGTGTCAGATTGATGCAACAGCCACGAGAAAAGATGGCCCCACCTTTGAAGGCACATCCCCATGTCTCTTCCCCCGGTGTTTGTACCATAAAGTCGCATAGAACTGCCTTCTGCTGTCGATCTGGATATATTTGTCGCATGGGAGACACCAAACTTTGTCGGGGCACATCCTACTCGCGTCTAACAGAGGATCCTCCACCAACTCGGCTTTGCGTTCAAGCATCCGGCGTTCCTCAGCATCGAGCTGCTCTTGAGACTTAGTCTTTTGCTTCTTGAGGTGTTGATGCTGCTCGTAGTCGGAATCATCATCGTCGTCGTCGCCTGAAGTGCGCCTTGCGCGACTATTAACAACGTTGACGCGACTAGTCCTCTTCTGCTGATGACGGAGGACGATGGGAATGTTAGCATTACGAGCACTTGTAAGGATGTGTTCGGTCGCGTGTTTGTATGTGTATTTCGTTCTGGAGGAAGTAGGAGTCGGATTCGTGGAAGTGTAACGCGCCGCGAGGGTGTCTCGATGTTCACGCGTAGAAGAGGAAGAGGAAGAGTAGGTAGACGCGGTTCCAATGCTAGACCTACTATCCACGGAATCCTCGCTGCTAGAGCTCGTACTAGGACTGGGAGCGCGCATGCGATACAAAGGAGCCGCGTTAGCTCTACGATTCTTGTTAGTTTCGTTGATTTGTTGACGTTACTAAAAGCTACTGACCTAGAAAACAAGCCCGACGAACAAGGGGTGAGCAGTTCACGAGACATCTTGTCTACTATGTGCTCAACTGTGGGAAAGTAGATGGTTTGAATACAGGGATGGACGTGGAAGATGTAGCTATGTATATTTCACCTTTTAACGTACCAACTCGGTGTCTGATGATACGGAGGCAATTTTGGACATCATCAACCCGCCCCGCCCCGCCCTCAGGACTTTCGTTGATTTTGCAATTCTTTCGATTACTTTCGATTACTTCTGATGATAACATGCTTGTGTACCTACTAGTACTAGTAAAGGTTGAGTCACTTGAGTCTCATATTGACAATGTCGATATCTACAAAAACAAAAGAAATCGGTTAATAGAAACTCAAGAGTAAATGATAATAAGCTCAACAGACCAACGGTTCAACAAGAAGAAATGCATCCCTTGTTGTATCAACCGTACTTCAAACAGTTCAATGCTAGGACTACATTCATCGCGCATCGATATGAAAGCGAATGCGCTGTACCGTATCGCATGTCTCACCCCAAATTCTTGTTGTGCCTTGTGATCGCGACAGAGCCGCGGGAGGAAGTAAACCATCATCTGTCAGCTGTTCAATGTTTTCTGGCATACCGGTCCTGATTAATATGGCGGCCTGCTATGTAGAACTCGCATCCCCTCGATGTGAATCTTGCGAATGAAAAGAACCAATTCCTGCAAAAACGGAATAGCGAATCTTGAGGCATGGTTTGCGAGTACTCCCGCTGATTGTAAGTAGACAAAGAGCCTTTGTTTAGTCTGAACTTCATACTATAGCTGTTACAGGTCCAGGACGATCGGACACTAGGTACAATTGGCCATGAGAGGCCGTATTAGAGTTCTAGAACGAGATATATAAGATAGGGTGTGCGAGAGTTGACCGAGCGCAGGATTGGAAATGAAAGTAGGGATGAGTGTAGTGGAAACATCATATATGGTTGGTACGAGGTTCTCGGGAGTCGAGACCGTCAGAGCAGTCACATGAGGGTGCCACGGTCAGCATGGCATTGCTACTTATGTACTTTCAATATATAACGAAACACACTCCTGCATCTTCTCTTCTCCTCAGTTTCCTCGTAAGCCCCGTAATACGCGTCGAACTCAGTCAAGAATCCATATGCATCAAGCATCGTTAGATCGCGGACAAGTTGACAGAGGATTGGCGGACGGGGCTGGACGGGGTGATGAAAATATCCGTGTGAGAGACAATTGAACGTGCGCAGGGCGCTGAGACCTGAGACGAGGAAAAACTGTGAACATAGTGAACCTCTTTGCAGTGAGCAGCGGATAATCTTACGGAGAATGGTAATTGTTGAGCAGGACAGGGGTTACACAGTGGTGACACTCTGTGGTACCAACCTGGATAGTAGAGTTTGTAGTTATAGAGAGGCAACAAAGGTAAGAG